ATGATGATGACAAAACCTTGTCGAAACGTGGTACATTTGCTGTCCTGTTAAACTTATATTAAAGTTTTTCTTCAATACCCATTTAAGCCGTCTCCAGCCATTATTAACCTAATCAGATGTTAACCAACTGTTTAATGTAGTTCATTAAAACACTGCTTTATTAGATATGCATGTATTATAATATTTTGTGTAAAAAGTTATTTCTTTACAATTGAGAAGACGTACTGTGGACAGAAGGACGTACTAGTGCTTTAGATTTTGTTAAATGTTTCAGAAATACTTACAAGTATTTGACAGCAGTGTTTGTATACTCTAAAGATGTATATACATAGAAAATATGTAGATGTATAGTTTCAACTGTTTGACGTGTTGCTGGGAGATAAAGGACGTGTGGATCCACCTGCTTGGTGTAACACTGAGTTTTGTTTGTTGGATCTACCTGTTTGGTGTAATACTGGGAGTTTTGTTTGTTGGATACACCTGCTTGATGTAATACTGGGATATGAAGGATGTGTGTTGGATCCACCTACTTGGTGTAATACTGGGAGTTTTGTTTGTTGGATCTACCTGTTTGGTGTAATACTGGGAGTTTTGTTTGTTGGATACACCTGCTTGATGTAATACTAGGATATGAAGGATGTGTGTTGGATCCACCTACTTGGTGTAATACTGGGAGTTTTGTTTGTTGGATCTACCTGTTTGGTGTAATACTGGGAGTTTTGTTTGTTGGATACACCTACTTGGTGTAATACTGGGATATGAAAGATGTGTGTTGGATCCACCTACTTGGTGTAATACTAGGATATGAAGGATGTTTGTTGGATCCACCTACTTGGTGTAATACTAGGATATGAAGGATGTGTGTTGGATCCACCTACTTGGTGTAATACTAGGATATGAAGGATGTGTGTTGGATCCATCTACTTGGTGTAATACTGGGAAATGAAGGATGTGTGTTGGATCCACCTACTTGGTGTAATACTGGAATATGAAGGATGTGTGTTGGATCCACCTACTTGGTGTAATACTGTGAGATGATTACTAGATCCTACTCTTTACACCTGATTCCTTAAGGACTTCTGGAAGTTAGTCCTTTCTTTTGACTGTGTTTTGACTACTAGGTCTTTCTCTGACAGACATTTGTTTTAGAAAAACTAGCTATTAGGTGGTGTGAACCGAAAATTTGACACAAGATTTGCTGGTGGTGTTTTTAAAAAAAAGTTAATTGTGTTTTATTTATAGTTTCCTATTCATGTAATAACTGTTTTTTTTCTAAAAAGTTTGTGAAGACGATAGCAGTTGATGACGTACCAGCAAGGCCTCTTCTCTCCACCAGCAGCCAATCATATTCGAAAGACAAGTTTGTGGACCAATAAAAAAAAAGTCTCAGGTTTTTACATATAAAGATCCATAGAATTAGCAAAGAAGGGTCGACAATTCAATAAGACGTTCTAAAAATAACATGTCAGTTTCAGTTTGTGGGCAATGTACGATTTTGATTTGTTCATCGTTACAATTGAATGTTCAGTTGTATATTATGTACATATATATATATATATATAATGATTTTATTTTAATATCTTTTCCTTTTTGTTTTTCCTTCCCCATCTTATATACCTCTTCTATTGTTCTAGTATAATTTTAACTTGAAAAAAAAAAAAAAACATCTCAGTCTCGATTGAAATTATGCCTTTTGACGTCCATTTCTACTGACACTAAAAGTAGTTCCTTGGTTGTTAACTCTTGTTTCTGAAAGGTCAAAAAACTTGTTTGTGTAGTAAACTAATAGTAATCTTGCTACAAAACTATGCAATAAAAAAATTGCCACTAAACTTAAGCCTAATGGACTAAGTTTAAACTGTATACTTATAAGCAAGAAGGCATATTTAATTTTATATTTATACGAATAACCAACTTGACCAATTTATTAGCTAAGTTTCTTTGTACGCTGAAGTTTCCACCCTAAGAAACTATTACAGTTAGAAACTGAATGCTTTCATAACCTCCAAATTTTAAAGAGGTTGTGTAGTATAACTTTGATCAGTATAATGCTTTGTTTAAATGTATTTGTGTGTGCAAGCTTTGAATATAAATGACGTGTTCAGTTTGTGTTTTATCCTGTACAGCAGTTTTACTTTCAATAACTAGGGATGGATTGGATAGGAAACTAGCTAGAGGGGGCCACAAATTTGATGTAAAAATAGAAAAAACACATATTTAAAAAGTATATATAATTAAATATTAAATCTAGTAATACAGGGTTCAGTTCGACGAGTCCTACACAAGACGGGAGATAACGTCTTCAACAGAAATATTGTCGAGTAAATCCTTTACTGTGCACATCATTATTGGTAGAATTAACACACGTGTGACGAGGATAGACAATGAATTAGTTCTATGTTATGTTAACACAGCATTAATCTGTTTTTATGTAACTTTCCAAGAGGGTCCACCACAATCTTACCCGGTGAGCCAGTCTGCATCTGTCAGTAATAATCGTAATGGAGGTTAAATTATCGTTAACATGAAGTAATTTTATGTTGCTTTTGATATGAAATTATACGAGAGCAAGTGACAAGTGTATCTTAGTATCTTTTAATGTGATCTTAAGTAAGACGAAAATTGTTAATTTAGTATTTATCTGTAAGAATAAATAAATAAAAGATCAATAAATAATTTGCATAAAAGCTAATGAAACAAAGAAAATTGGGGAATTCAATTAAAATCCTAAGTCTTCAAATTAACTTAACATACAAACGAATTTGGGAATTTTTTTTTATAATCCCCCCCTTTTTTTAGATTTATTTGCTACATAAACCAAAACTATTAAGATACTTCATAATAAGTCCAGTCCAGGAATACGCTCATAAAAGAAAGCCCTTATAATTTATGTATTTTATTTGTGTTGGCATTTATTAGATTAGACATCCAACACTTATAATTAATATGTTTGATAAAAAAAACTTAAATGATTTAAACAAATATCTCTATTATTTTATATTATCACTTGAGTACGTACAAATTTTCTGGCTGTGCACATCTTTTGTTGAAGTCGTTATCTCGTTTAGTCTTCACAATGTGTACTTTAAACATTTGTAATGTTTACAATTAATAAACCTCACAGGAAATAAGTGTTAAAGCATACTGGTGGAGCTGAATGTTTACAATTAATAAAACTCACAGGAAATAAGTGTTAAAGCATACTGGTGGAGCTGAATGTTT